CAATCTAAATCATCAAACACGTATGAAAGTGATTTAGATTGTTGTTTTCGAAAAATAATAAATCGACACAAATGATTTTTACTTGGAAAAATCACAATTGAAGCACCTTCAATTGTGATAAAAAAATCATGGGCGAAACGCCACTAATCAATCCACTACTGAAGAAAGATAGATTACAAAGATAACAAACAAATTACCCAAACGTTTCCAATTTCTCTTCAAATCTTTTGTATATCTTTCACCGCAACCTTCGTCTCAGAATTGATTAGGTTGAAGTTGAATCCATAACTTCTATTGTCGAATCAATGACCACGCACAGTATCAAATTCCTTCGACACTCCACGCTTGAATCTCCGGATTCCACCGAAGAAGAACACTCTTGAATATAAACAATCAACCTCCTTGATGTGTGCTTATCAAAACATGAGTTTAATACTCAATCAAGACATCAAGAAAAACTAGTAAACAATCCCAAAAGAAAACCCTAAACACCTTAAAGAAGATCTAAAAAATGTAACCCTAGATTCGTACTTAAACAAGTACTTACAGAAAACAGGGGCAGCGAAGCTCGCTTGAGCGAAGACTCTCTCGCTCGAGCGAGGAACCAAATACGCATGTTTTCCTTAAGTGGCTTCGCTCGAGCCACGCTACCTGTGCTCGAGCGTACAATCTTCCTTCTTAGGTTTTTGGCAGACAGAAGCAGCTTCTAGCATAACATTTTCGCTCAAGCGAGAACTCCTCCGCTCGAGCGAGCAAGACAACAAACTTAGGAAAATTACAACTCGATAAAACATGTTTGTTCACGAGATTGACAAAACTAAGGGACCTAACAATCTCCCAATTTGTCAATTCCCGGACAAAACATTCTAACAATTTCCTAGAAAACACACGTGCTAACGAAAACAACCAACCTACGCAGCACAACCAACTCAGCTTAACAAAACAACCTGGACCAAATATTTGCAAAAATAGAAAACCAACACATCATGCGAAAATAGTATGAAACGATATCATCATGCAAATATAATGTCTGCAAATGTCTAGTTTGCAAAACAACCACAATGAGTATGCAATTTTTTTTTTTTAATGAAATATCTGATGAACAATTGAAGATGCTCTAACTCGGATTGCAACCTCAACTATTCATCTTTATTAAGAATAAGTGAATAATTCATTCGAAAAATATAGAGTCCATTATAATATCATAGGCATCATTAGAAACTTAAAAATAAAAAATAACAATAATGGCGGTAGAAATAAAAAAATTGGTTTAATTTGTCATAAACTATCTTATCGGATCCATAATTTTAAGAAGTGTTGAAAAATCCAAACCAATCCGACCTTAGGTTCTCTTAATATTTTGTACACCCTACATATTGGGTCAAATTGGATACACTAACGCTGCGTTTGATTGAGAGATTTAAAAAGGAAAATGAAAAAGATGTGTGAAATTAGGTGATATATAGGTATATTTTATTTATATTTCTCCTACTTTTTCCATTTCTCTTTCTAAATCTCTCTTCAAATCCCCTAACCAAACACAACATAAGAGCACCACGCCAACTTTAAAAGTTGGATATCCTTTAGGAAAATAGTATGGTGCACCCTCTTCAAAAGATATGTATCATATGCATCTTATAATTAAAAGTAAAACAACATGATTTTAATTTTTTGAGACATAATTCAAAAAAAATAATAAATATCTTAATTTATATATAATATGAGACATAGCAAAAGCACTTATGAGTCAAAATTAAAAAAATAATAATTATAACTAAAAAAAAATAATATAATAAAAGTACATATGGTATACCCATTTTCCCTCCTTTAATTTGGCTCTCCCGACCATTAAAAGGTAGATATCCTCTCAGGAATGTTGTCATTTTATTCCCCCAGGTCTTCTTAAGTGAAAAAAAAAAAGGTATGTTTAGATTTTTTTTTTAAAAATTATAAATTATTAAGATGTTTGACATATTTTTAAAATAATTTTTTTGAATTTTTTGAATTTTTAAAGAGCAATGTTAGAATATTAAGTCCCATTTTGAAGTTGACTATTTTAATTTTTTTTATAAAAAGACGTTAAAAAGATAAAAAGATTGGTGTGATAATTTATAATAATTTTTTAATTACAAATCTCACTTCCCAAAGATAGTCCAAATGTTTTATCAAAAATTTGACACAAAGGAATAGGATATGGCTGAGCATTTGTAGAAATTTTGATAGAACATTCAAGATTCGTTTAGTTTTAGATTTTTGGTTAAAAAAATACAAAAAAATAAAATTAGTTATATAAGTTAATAAGATAAAATATCATATTTAAATTATAATCATTACATTTTTTTTTCATAAAAGTCAAAAAAATTTAAAAAAACTAAACAAAACGAAACTAAAAAAGTCACAACACAAAAAAACTAGCTACAAAAACTAATGCCAAATGAAGACTTAGGGACAATTTGAGAAGAAATTAAAAAAGTTAGTTTTTTTAAATATTTTTTACACAAAAAATCACAAAAAGATCAATTTTTTTAACATAAAAAAGCTAAAAAACTAAAAAAATCAAAAAATTAATTTTTTATTAACTTCCAACAACACCACTTAGATCTCTATCATTTTTGTTTTTAAAATGTATTTATTTATGGGTATGGCTTGTGTTAAGTTCGAGATCAGACTGGACTGTATTGTTGGGCTTGTAGAGGCTTACTACGGGTCTTGTTTTGATAATTCGAATTGTTCAATATGTAGAACTCGTCGAGTACTATATATTTGTAAAAAATCAAGTTGATCGGATATTGAGAACTATGTGATCAAATCAGTTTTGTATTAAAAAATAGACGGTGAAAAAATTAACAGTTGACAAAAAACTGTTTTGATCACATAGTTATGGATATCCGATCAACGTGATTTTTTATAGATATATAGTACTCGACGAGCTCTATACATTAACAGTTCATATTATCAAAACAAGACCTATGGTGGCCCTTAGAGCATCTCCAACGGTAGTAGGCATTTTACCTATCTAAATATTACTATAAAGTAGTATATTTTATTTTGCCTATCAACTGTTTTATGTTTTTACTCCAACCATACTCTTTATTTTAGCTATTTATCCACATACTATTAATTTTATAGAATGCCACGTCAACAACAAAGATAGAGGGAAATGATCCTAATGATTGAATACATTTTGCCTAGCGTTGAAGGCTAGCTACATGTAGCTAGTGAATATGAGTTGAGCCAAAATGCCTAATCATATGCCTAGTGCATTGGAATTGAAAAAAATGAATCATACTAGGCATTTTAACTAACAAGTCTTAAATCTTCGGAAGGAAAATGCAATTGTAGGACTTTTAACAAGACAAACAACAAGCTGGACAAAAATAAAATCAAAGGTGGCAAATGGAAAAAATATTTTATAAGATTTCAATAATGCAAGTGTCTCCACTTCAATAATATTTTAATAATATTTTATAAGATATCAATAATATTTTAAGAAGACATTTTTTAAGATTTCAATAATGCAAGTGTCTCCACTTCTCCCATAAAAACCCTACTCTGTGTTAATTTGAAATTAAATAATCAGAGAAGAACACATCATTTTGATTTTGTATAAATTTTGACATAAAAATTTATTATATTATGTTACCTAACACACACACACACACATATATATATATATATATATATAACTATGTCAAACAACATTCTATAACCTCATGGGATAAAATTTAGCTTAAAGTTGGGAAAGATTATTCCCATGAGCTTTACTCACTTTTGGGACCTAAACCAGCATTTATTCTGCCATCCCATTGTAACATAGTGCATAGGTCCTCTTGTGTCTTATTAATTAAAAGGCTATACCATAAAAAAGGATGACCTAAAGGCTAAAAGCAATTTGAAAACTGATTTTCAGAATCACATTCCTATGGTAATTCTTGCTGCTGTTCTAGGAAAAGCAGGAATTAGTGCCTTTCGCTTTGACTTTGCTGGCAATGGGTAAGTTGTTGGGAGTGAAATCCAGTAGAATTATGGAGAAATTGTAAGATGTGCGAATGAGATGGTGGTGGAGTGAGATGGTAATTTTATTAAAGGATAATGTGAATAGTGATAACTT